GGCGGAAGACGTTGATGAGGACGACGGGGTGGGAGGGTGAGGCCGAGAACGGCGAGGAGGAGGAGGAGGGCGATGCCAAGGGGCGAGGAGGAGGGCAAGGCCGCGGAGGCCGAGGACCCAGCATGGATCCAGCACTGCGGCGGATCAGGATCCGGCGAGCCAGCTGCCGCCCGAACGAAGCCGCGGTCCGCGGAGGAGCGGGACGAGGAGGCCGAGGAGAAGGCGGAGAGGAGGGGGGGTGGTGGTGCTCGGGTTCAGGCGCCCACCGCGGACCTCCAGCACTCGGCCGGCGGCGAGGCCATCTCGGCGCAGCCGGGCGACGCGGCCGGCATGGCGGCGCCCTCCTGGCCCTTGCAGGGGAGGAGAAGGGAGGCGAGGGAGGGTGCAATTGAGGAGGCGAGGGAGGAGGAGGAGGAGGAGGAGGAGGAGGAGGAGGAGGAAGAGGAGGGCCAGTGCGAACCCATGACTCATCAACGATTTGCATTACCTCCCCCCCTCCAAGTTCCCTCTTCAGATACCGCCACGAGGATATATTTTCACTGGGGGAAGTGCGCCGTGTGAAGACAACCGTTTGAAAATCCGGAACTGCACCAGAGCAAAATCCCTGGGATGCCAACCTCGCGAATCACCGTTATTGTTGCTTTTGGGCGATGTTGCTTCGTGCCAGATCACCATTATTGGGTTCTTTACGCCGCGAATCAACGTGACTGACGCGCCCTAGCATTCCGACTTCGTGCAAACAGACCATCGTGCTGACCATGATAACCCTTGAAGCGGCTGCGAACTCTTAAGCCGACTGCGCGCGGTTCTAAGGCGAGAGCCACACGTTGAACACGGCCCGCCCTCCATCCGGGATGTTTTTGTAAATCTTTCAAAGTATTGTGCGCAGCGCTACGGCGAGAGCCACATGTTGAAGGCGGACGCCTTCCATCCATGAATCTCCTGCAAAGTGTCAAGACGAATGTGCTCGGCGAGAAGGCGTAAGCCACATAATGAAAACGACCCACCATCCATATAGTGAGACTCTTGCAAACTCTGAGTTCAGCCGAATGTGCTCGGCGCTGAGGCGAGAGCCACGTGTTGAAAACACCGCCCTCTATCCGTGAAGCCCTTGAAAGGCGTTAAGACGAATGCACGCGGCGCTGAGGCGAGGGCAACACTTTGAAAACGGCACGCCCTCCATCCGTGAAGCTCTTGGGAACTGTAACGGCGAGTGTGCACCAAGGCGAAGGCCACATCCCGAAAGAGGCCCGCCCGCCATCCGCGAAGCTCTCGCAATGTTTTAAGTTTCGGGGTCACAGTCGTGAGCAATTCGTCGGGCGAAGCCACGAGCCCGCCCTCTCGATCGTCCTCTGGGTGTGAGGAAGAGGGAATGAAGGAGGGGGAGGCGGAGAAGGGGAGGAGGAGGAGGAGGAGGAGGAGGAGGAGAAGGAGGAGGAGGACGGGGGGGGGGGAGGAGGCGGAGCAGGGGGGAGGACGGCGCAAAAGCGAGAACCGAATGGTGCCAAGCCGCGTGCAGCCCATCCGGATGGCGATCGCGGGTTGTGTATAAGACGAGTGCGCGACCTTGCCCGGCGTGCGTGCGAGCGCCAGCTATCTGATACGCCCCACCCTGCATCCTCAGCTCAGGAGGGGAAAAATCAGACACAATGAATCGTCCACTCCCAGGAAAATATGGGAAATATGGGCAGTGGGGGGGAAGACAGAAACCCAGAAAATATTGGAAAAGATTGGGAATCCTATTATTTGTGTGTATTTATTTGTGTGTCCCAGGGCCCCTTCATCAGCTCCGGGCTTCAGGACCACACCTCGTGAGGCGGTCTCATGCGAGACGCCCGTGCCGACCTGCCGGGTCGACGGGGAGGACTGGTGTGAGAAGGGAGAGGGGCGAGACGTGCGCAGGAGGATGTCACCAGGAGGGGCGAGGAGGCACGGAGGGGGAGGAAGAAGGAGGGGGAGGAGAAGGGCGACGTCGTCGTCGTATTCGACGTCGCCCTCGTCCTTCCCTCGGAGGGGAGGAGGGGGGAGGAGGAAGGAGGGAGGAGGAGGAGGAGGAGGAAGGAGGGCAATCAGAGGAGGCGACGACAACTCGAAGGTGAGGAGGAAGCGGCGGGTTGGACGAGATGGCCTGCCTCCTCTGTCAGCACGGGCTCCCTCCTCGGATCAGGGAAGGGGGTCCCGCTTGAGAGTTCCTTGCGGTTCAACTCACGCACGAGGCTCCCGTTCGAGAGTTCTTCCATACCCAGGCCGCGAAAAATCTCAACGCGACGATGACCCGCTTCGGACTCGAACATGAAGTGCGAGCCCCATATGGAAGGGGCTCCCGCTTTAGCCCTCCTCGCGATTCGCTCACAGACGGGGTCCCCGCTCGAGGCGTCATTGGCGTGAGTTTATGTGTGTGGGCGATGATAACGATTATGATCGTGATGACGATGACGTGAATATGACCGATGATGATGACGATGGGGTGACGATAGCGATGAGGTAACGACGATGCTTGTGATGATGTGATGATGACGGCGATTCTGATTGTGGTGTTCGTGGTGACCGTGGTGAGTAGGAGTACGCTGATGTTTGTGACGGTCATGGTGGCGATGAGGATGATCATGATGATGACGGTGGTAATTTTGATGTTGGTGATGATGTTGAGGAGCAGGAGCGGAGAAGGAGGAGGAAAAGAGGGGGTGAAACCTCCTGCGCGGGGGGCGTCCAGAGAAATCAAGGACCCCACTTTGGATGTGTGTAGAAAACGGGCTCCTTTCCGTCGAGCCTCTCTTCGCGGGCACGGGCTGCTTTCTGCCATGGCAGCTCCGCGCCTTCGCGTCGCCCGCGCGCGCAGGGGGACTGCCTGACCGCCGCTGCCGCAAACCAGCGATTGCCCGACGACAGCCCCGTGGGGCGGCGCCCCTAGCCACGACGACGACGACGGCCACGACGGCGGCGGCGGCGGCGGCCACGCGGATGACAGCGGTGGCGACAATGAAGTGGGCAGTGGCGGCGGCGGCGGCGACTGCGAAGTGGCGAAGTGGCCGCAACGACGATGACGAAGACGACGACGGCGACGACGACAACGACGACGACGACGACGACGACGACGACTACGACGGGCTCTGAGGTTGGAAAGCGCGTCTTCTGAGAACGCTCGGAGGAAGTCAGGGGGGGTGCGACCCGTCCCGCCCTCAAAAGTCCGGGGGCGGTGATGCGAACCACGGTCTACAGAGTGCAAGTCGTGGGGCGGGGGGGAGCGTACGCAGGGGTCGCTCTATCTCTCGCTCTCTCTCTTTCTCTGGGGGTTGGGTTGGCCGCCCTCTGCCTGGCCAGGCCCCTAAACGGGGCCCCGTGGCCGTTGCCGAACCACTCCGCCCAGGGACCGCTTCGGGGGAAGGCCCCTGGGGTGTATACGCCCCTGGGGTGTATACGCCCCCGCTGGACAAGCAGCGCGACCTTGTGCAGGTCGTGCCGTGGAATCCCGCAATGGGGGACTTCCCTGTCATGGGCCTGTCTTCCACCACCGCCACCACCACGAGTTGGAGGGAGGAAGGAGGTGGAGGACGAGGAGGAGGACGAAGAGGAGGAGGAGGACGAGGACCCCCTCCTCCTCCTACTTCTGGTGGTGGTGCTGGTGGAAAACGAGCCCACCATCCCTGGGGGTCGCGCTGCGTCGCGGGCCCGTCCCCGACGGCCCGGGGGGGCCGAAGGCGGCCTCTAGAGGCCAACATTCGACAAGCGAGCGACGGCGACGAGCGGCCTCCCGAGGCCAACATTCGACAAGCGAGCGACGGCGACGAGCGGAAGCGAGCGACAGGCGAGCGACAGGCGAGCGACAGGCGAGCGGCACGGGGCGGGAGCGGTCGAGCGCCAGTCGGGCTGAAGGCGGGGCGCGCCGAAGAACATTGGGGCACGGAGCCTCCTCCTCCTCCTCCTCCTCCTTCTCCTCCTCCTTCTCCTCTCTTGTTCCTCCTCCTCTTCTTCCTCCTCTTCCTTCTCCTAATCCTTCTCCTCCTCCTCTCTTGTTCCTCCCCCTCCTCCTCCTCCGCCTCCTCCTCCTCCTCGTCCTCCTCTTCCTCCCCCTCCTCCTCCTCCTCCTCCTTCTCCTCCTCCTCCTCCTCCTCCTCCTCCTCCTCCTCCTCCTCCTCTCCCTGACCCTGCCCCCAAGATGGCCCCAGTAGGTCGAGCATGCTCTCGACAGCGGCCAACAAGCCTGAGGAGAAGGGGGGAAGCGGAGCGGAGGCGAGGACGGAGCCGCTCGCATCGTGCAGGACCGGGCGGCGGAAGCAGGGTCTTACCAGCGGCTGGTGAAGCAGTGGCACGGCGCTTTCCGGGGCGGCGGAGGGCGCCCCGCTCCCACACGGAGAGGGGGGGGGGCGGGGCGCAGTGCGCCGATGCGCGTGGGCAGTGCAGTGGGGGCGCGCATCTCAAGAAGTCATGTGCTCGCCGTCGGAACGTGATGGGTTCCATCGCTCCGTGCCCTGCGCGGTGGCTCCCCGCAGCCGTCAGGAAGCTGCCGCGCTCCAGATGCTCCGGGCTCTCTCTCTCAGGTGTAACTCGCGCGCGGGTGCTCAGGGTTGAGTTTCCTGCGATGGTGTCTTGCGACCGCGCTTGCACTGTAGTTACCCTCAGGAGCTCAGCTCCAGAACTGCCCCCCCTTTTCATCTCCTCCTTCCTCCTGTCAGCATCGTTTAACCGACCCCTACCTCCATATCCCCACCCCCATCCAGACCTCCACCATCTCAGTACCCCAGTTGGGGATACACCCCTACATCCTATCCCTATCCCCATGCCCATCCACACCCGGAGGAAACGGCCTATATCCCCATCTAGGGGGGTATGTCGATCAGTTGGGCCCAGGCCATGCCCATGGGCATAGGGGTCTGCGAAGCGATCTTCATCAACTCCTCCTGCCTCCCCGCCCTCGTAGAGCATGGAAAAAGAACGCCAGGGGCGTTTCCCCCCCCCCCCCCCTCTCGTTTTCACAATCGACGTTTTTTTCGGTTTTTGGGGTCGCCCCCCGCGTGCCGAGACGTAAGCGGAGCCTCCTCTCTGCCCGACGTCGGTGGCCGTTTTGGGGTCCGGCGCTCGGACGACGTTGAGCCACGGCTGGGCGCAGCTGCTGGCCCTTGCGACGAACGAACAACACACACCCATACCCCTAGGGGGGGGTCGTTGGGAGGAGGACTGGCTATGGGCATGGGTGCTGGTTGTCGGACCCTGGGGAACGCTCCCGTTCGAGCGGGGACCCCCGCTCGACAACACGCACCCATGGCCCTCTCCGACCCCCCCATGGTGTGGGTGTTTGTTGTTGTTTCGTCAGCCTTGGGCCGAGGGCCCTCGACGCCGCGCGGCGGCGGGTCCGCGGGGTCCCGGACGGGCGTGGGCTCCGCGGCTCGCGGCTGGCGCTTGCAGGCGCGGGCGGGCTCTCGAGCTGGAGGAGGCGCGAGGGCGGGTGGCAGCGGCCGCGGGCCTCGGCGTGGAGGAGGCGCGGGTCCCGCTGCAGGAGCTCGTGGACCAGGCCTTGGCATCGCTCGGACGTGTGCATTTTTTCTCGGCGAGGACCATCGAGGAGCATCTTTGATCATTGAGGGAAAAAAACCGCGCGAAATCGAAAAATGTACGGGGAATTTACGTCCGAGCGATGGCGAGAGGCGGTAGGCGAGCCACCCCCGAGGGGGAAGAGGTCACGCAGCTGCGTGAGCCGTGGGCTGCGCTCCCAAGGGGCATGGGGCGCGGTGGTCGACGAAGCATGCAGCCCGTCGGAGGCGGTGCGGTGGGGCGCACCGTGCGCAAGAGCGGCGTACTCCAAGGGAGGAAAAACCACCCGGGCCGGACAGTTGGCGTTTACTGGACGGCTCTGGGCGTTGACTAAACAACCCTGCTCTGTTTGGTTCTTTCTTTGGGCGCGTTCACAAAACGGCTTTGCGTGTCGGGGTGGTTCTTGTCGGGATGGATTTTCTACCCTCTAGTACTGGCGTTTGGATCTAGCACGCGCGGCCAGGCTGTGGAGCTTGGCTGCGAGGCACAGCGGTTGGCCGCGGAGCGGGCCAAGTCGGATCGCCGCCACGCATGCCGACGAGGAGGGACGTTGGTGTTATTGTGGGCCTCCTTTCCCTCCTTCTCCAGCTATTCCTCTTTGTGTGCCTGGGTGTCTCCTGAAGGGCGCCAGCCCCGCGGTTGGATCACCTCGGCAACAATTCCGGGGTCTGTTTGTTTCTATGGACGGGGAAGAAATGATTCCTCCTACCCCTTCAACTCCGTGTTCTCTCCGTCATCCTACTGCTCTTCTGCTGCTGCTTCTAGACAGACTAACCCTTCTTCTGCTCCCTCTCCGCCCCCTGTTCCTCGTGCTTCCCTCCCCCTCCTGAGCCCACTCCTGCTTTCCCTGTTCCTTCTCATCCTGTTCCGCCTCCCTTCTGCACGTTTATCACGGCGATGCTCGTCCTTCTTCCTTTCCTGCTCTCCTGCGCCTCTTCCTGCGTTCCCGCGCCCTGCTGCTCGTGTTCTGCATTGAGACGACCCTCCTCCTGGTGCTATCGTGCATTCGTGCTGGACTGTCCCAGGGGCAAGAGATCGAAGGGCCACGGTCGAGGAACGATCTCCAGCACGGTTCTAGCGGCACTCCCGAGGAAGAGGAGAACGATGCGCGGGAGGCGGATGATCTTCGGGCGGGTGGCATGGGGGGTGGGACCTGAACGGGGGGTGAAGAAGAGGGGCCCTCAAGGGGGGCCCTTTTTCTTGCCCCCCCCAGTCAGGGCGCCCCCCGATTGCCGCCCGCCCGAGGTCTTTGGCAATGTCAGCAGCGGCCCAAAGGCACGGCCCCCCGCCGCAGGCCACCAAGGAGCCCCTCCAGACTCGGAGCCGACGGCGGCAGCAACGAGGGCGGCTGTGGCGGCGACGGAGACGGAGACGGCGGCGCCGGCGGCGACGGCGGCGGCGACGACGGCGGCGTCGGTTGCGACAGAGGCTGTGGCAGCGACGACGGCGGCGACGGATTCGAAACCGCTCGAGGGTCCCGGCTCGGAGACGTGGAGGTCGCCAGCTCTCGCAGCGCGCCGGTTTGTCCGCCGTTTGCGCGTCCGCACCGTGGGAAAGTGCCGTAAGGAGGAGGAGGAGGAGGACGAGGAGGAGGTGGAGGAGGGGGAGGAGGAATTGCTTCCCCACGGGCACTCGATAGCCTCTCCGCTTTTGCTTGGTCCCTGCCCGACGCTTCTTTGGTGTCTTGGCCCCCCGCGACTCCTGCATGCTGATGGGGTAGCACCCGAGCCGCTTCTGAGCTCGCCAGGGGGAGGAGGACGTAAGGGGTAGGAGGACGGGATGTTGGAGGACGTGCGCAAGTCGGACTGGTGGGCCGTACGGAGCAGGAGAAGGACGACGATGAAGAGGGGGAGGAGGAGGAGGAGGAGGAGGAGGAGGAGGAGGAGGAGGAAGTGGAGGACGAGGTGGTATGTTCTGCTCGCGCCCGAGATCGTGACCCCCTTAGGGTCACGTGAGGCCCAGAGGTTTCTCCGGAGGCGTGGAGGGGGGCCCGAACCGTTTCAAAAGTTAACTGAACATATGAGACCATATCCTATCTCGATCCCTGGGGCTCGAGGGCGAGCCTTCGCAGGAGGAAGGGGATGAGAGGGATGAAGAGGAGAAGAGGGAGGGATGATGAAGATAATGCTGATGATGCTGCTGCTGATGATGATGGTGACGACGACGATGGTGATGATGATGGTGATACTGATGATGGTAATGATGATGATGATGATGCTGATAATGATGATGATGATGATGATGATGATGATGATGATGCTGATAATGATGATGATGATGATGATGATGATGATGATGATGATGATGATGATGATGGTGATGATGATGATGATGATGATGATGATGGTGCTGATAATGATGATGATGATGAGGATGATGTTGATGATGATGATGATGATGCTGATGATGATGATGATGATGAAGATGTCGATGATGCTGCTGCTGATGATGGTGCTGATGTTGTTGCTTCTAATTGTGAGGATTGGGGGTGAGGGTGAGGATGCATGATGAGGATGACGATGACGATGATGCTGATGATGATGAGGAGGATGAGGATGATGATGATGATACTGGTAATGAGGATGACGATGACGATTACGATGAGGATACTGATCATGATGAGGATAAGGAGGAGGATGCCGATGACGATGATGCTGCTGCTGATGAGGATGATGATCGCGATGATGAGGCTTATGATGCTGATGCTGATGGTGATGATGACGATGACGATGACGATGATGATGACGACGATAATGATGATGATGATGATGATGACGATGATGATGATGATGATGATGATGATGATGATGCTGATGATGATGATGATGATGATGATGATGATGATGATTGTGATGATGCTGCTGATGCTGATGCTGATGCAGATGCTGATGGTGATGAAGCTGCTGATGATGATGTTGATGATGGTGATGATGATGATTGGGAGGCGGACGATGATGATGATGATGCTGATCCTGATTATGACGATGAGAAGGAGGAGGAGGAAGAGGAGAAGGAGGAGTTGGAGCAGGAGATATCCGTAGGTTGTTTAGCTATCCGTATAGTTACTGTACCTCCTGGGGTAGAGGCCCCCCCGCCGTGTGTCAACACCCGGGGAGGGGGCCTGCAGGCCCGGGAGCGATGAGGGAGGAGCGAGAAGGACTGGGAAGCAGGGCGGAGGGGGGAGGTCGGAGTGATGAGCGCGGGGCGATCAGCGGCGGCGAGCGAGGGGAGGGGGAAGTGAGAAGGAGAGGGACTTCTCGGAAGGCCGGGGGGGCTTCCGAGCCTTCGGAGGAGGTCCGCCCCCGCTCACTTCCCCCCGAGACGTGTAGCCGAGAGCAGGAGGAGGAGGAGGAGGAGGAGGAGAAGAGGAGGGGAGGAGAAGGGGGAGGATGAGGAGGAGGAGGAGGATCAGTGCAAACCCAAGACTCATCAACGATATATTGTTATCAGCCCTCCCTCCAAGTTCCCTCTTCACTAGCCCCTACAAGGACTCATTCTCACTGATTGAAGTGTCCCGTTGGAAAACAATATTTGAAAAACCTTCTCAGCTGAACCAGAACACCATTCCTCGGATTCAACGCCGCGCGTTGCCGCTTTTGCTCTGTCTTGCCGATTCGCAGTCGTGCCAGGAAGCCGTCCGGGGGACTTCGAAACACCACGAATCAACGTAACTGTTCCGCCCTGACAGCCCGACATATTGGCAAAACGCAATGTCTTGGACGTTGTCCATGAGGATAGTGGGCGCGGCTGTGAACTATAGTTCAAAACAATGTGAGCGGCACTAGGGCGAGAGCGACGTTTTGAGAAGGAGCCGCCCTCCATCCGTGAAGCTCTACTCCTGAAGCATTGTCCAACGGATCGGCGCGGCGGCGCTGAGGCGAGAACCACATTTTGAAACCGACCCTCCCTCCGTCCGTGAAGCTGTTGCTAGTCTTTAGAAACGAATGTGCGTGGCGGTCAGGCGAGAGCCACATTTTGACACCGACCCTCCCTCCGTCCGTGAAACTCGTGCTAGCTAAAGAACGAAGGTGCGCGGCGCTCCGGCGAGAGCCACATGGTGAAACAACGACGCGGCCTCCATTCGTGAAGCTATTGCAATGCTTAAGCCTCGGGACAAGCGGTGAGGGAGTCTCGGACGAAACGCCGGGCCCGCCCTTTCGACCGTCCTCGGGGTGCGACAGAGAGGAGTCATTTATATGGAAGAGGGTGTTGGAGGAAAGGGAGGAGGAGGAGGGAGGAGGAGGAGGAGGAGGAGGAGGAGGAGGAGAAGGAGGAGGAGGGGGAGGAGGAGGGGGAAGGAGGCGGAAGGAGGAGGGGGGTCAGTAGGAGGAGGAGGAGGAGGGTCATGAGGAGGAAGTAGGAGGAGGAGGAGGAGGAGGAAATATAGGAGGAGAGAGGGTACCGAGGTAGGGGCGGAGGAGGAATCGAGGATCGAGTAGAGAGAGGAGGAAGGATGAGGAGGTGGAGGAGGAGGATGAGGTGGAGGGAGGAGTAGAAGGAGATGGAGGCAGGAGGGGAGGGCGGGAGGAGAGGAGGCGGAGGAGTAGATGAGGAGGAGGAGGAGGAGTAGGATGAGGAGGAGGGAGGGAGCTCCCCGCTCCGCTTTCCCCCTCCCCTCCGGGGGAATGCCCCCCCTTCCGCTTGGAGAGGTGCCCGCTTTCAGCGCCCGCCACGCCCACCGCGGCAGGGCCGGGCAGGGCTGCATCCTTTTTGCAGTCGTCCGCCCGGAGCGGCCGGGAAGGGCCCCGCCGCCCCAGAGGGCCCCGCGGCGGGGGCCCGGTCGGGCCGCGGGCCTCGCCGCTCGTGAGGGGGGCCGGAGCGCGGAGCGAGGAGCGAGGATGAGGAGCCAGGAGGAGGAGGATGGAGGATCGAGCAGGAGGAGGAGGAGGAGGAGGAGGAGGAGGAGGAGGAGGAGGAGGAGGAGGCTCGAGGAGGGAGGCGGAGGAGGAGGCTCGAGGAGGAGCGGGATCGAGGAGGAGGATCGAGGGGGAGGATCGAGGCTCGAGGAGGAGGAGGAGGAGGAGGAGGAGGAGGAGGCTCGAGAAGGAGGCGGAGGAGGCGCGAGGAGGACGCAGGAGAGGGGAGGAGGAGGACAGGGGAAGGGGCAGGGAGGGGCGCGCCCTGCCCCGCCTCGCGCGCCGACGGGGGTGGGCGGGCGGGGCGGGGCGGGGGCGCGCCCTCCCCCGCGGTCGGACCCTCCCCTAAGCCGAGGCGGCACGGCCGGCTCTCCGTGCAGAACGGCACCATCCGAGGCCGCGGGCCGCGCGCCCGAGCCCGCGGCTGCCGCGCGCGCGGGCGGGGGTCGCGCAGACCGGTCGGGGCGCTGCAGAAGGAAGCCTGTTCGTGGGGGAGGGGCTCAGTGCTCCGCGAGTGTTGCATAAAGTTTGCCTCGGGGCGCTGCAGAAGGAGCCCTTCTCGTGGGGGAGGGACTCGGCGCTCCTCGATTGGTTCAAAGTGTGCCTCGGGTGTTCCCGAGGTTTTTTTCCGTGGGAGATCGAGGTTGAGCTTATGGGACAAAGGGGTCTGGTTCCTTAATTAGGGTTCGCGCAGGAAGTCGGGGCGCTGCAGAAGGGACCCTTGTCGTGTGGGGAGGGGCTCGGGGCTCCTCGATTGGTTCAAAGTCTGCCTCGGGTGTTCCTGAGGTTTTCCGTGGGCTTCCGCGCGGGCACGGGTCACGCACACGGTCGGGGCGCTGCAGAAGGAGAACCCTTTTCGTTTGGGGAGGGGCTCGGTGCTCCCCGATGGTTTCAGAGTTTGCCTCGGGCGTTCCTGAGGTTTTTTCCGTGGGAGATCGACGGCGAACTCGTGGGAAAAAGGGGGGTCTCGTTCCTTGATTGGGGTTCCTTGGGTCAACGCCACGACTGTTAGGGGAGGAGCGGGGCTTCGGGCGGGGGGGGGGGCGCGGAGCCTCCCCCCGGACCCCCTCGCGCAGGGAGCAAAACAGGCGGCACGAGGTGCTGCGCCGTCGGCAGCCTCCGGGGGGGGGCCCTTCCCGGGCCTCGCGACCGTCACACACCGAGTCGGGACCAACAACGGATGCCATGGGGAAGGGGTCAGACCTCACCAGCACCATTACCATCGTCATCATCATCGTCATCATCATCATCAGCAGCAGCATCAGCATCAGCATCATCATCATTATCATCATCATCCTCATCATCATTAGCATCATCATCATCATCATTATCATCATCATCATCATCATCATCAGCAGCATCAGCATCAGCATCAGCATCAGCATCAGCATCATCAGCATCAGCATCAGCATCGGCATCGGCATCGGCATCCGCGTCAGCGTCAGCGTCAGCATCAGCATCAGCCAGACCTCTGGGCGTCCACGGCATGAAGAAATCCCGACGTCGGGGGCATGGGTCCGAGGGTCGGCGTTGCGAGGGGGCTTCTTGGCCGTACTTCCAGGGCTCGCGCTTGATCTCAGCGGTAGCGCGACAGGCGGCACTGGGAGGACCTGAGGAAGACGAAGCCCGACCGAGCTAGAGATTGGACATGTCTCAGGCGGGTCGCCACAAACAGAGGGACCGCATCGCCAGGGGAATCCTCCTTGCCTCCTCTCGATGGTGGTGGTGGGGGTGGTGTCGTTTCCTCTGCCGCCGAGCAGGAGTCGAGGGTCGATGACCGAGGTGTTTTGCCCGATCTGGCCGTAGGCTACGGCTCGCTCTTGATTTCAGCGTTATCGCGACCTGGAGGTGCAGGGATGATGGAGGATCCAGGTTGCAGGGTCGATGAGTTTTCTGCGGCCCGACCTCTCACTTCCCATGCGGCCCTCTACCTTCGCCTCTGCAGCTCCGCAGCAGTCAACTCTGTGATGGGGAAGGGCATGGCAGCTTGGTGGGAAGGGTGCAGCGCCAAGAACTTCGCGCGGCCGCCGCCACGGAAGGCGCAGACCTCGCCCCCGCGCCACACGGACCCCTCCCCCCCCGAGGCGGCCACCAGTCCCCAGCCTTCGGAACCCTGTCCGTCAGTCGGGTATGTCCCGGCACAGGAGGGATACTTGCAAACAGTGAAGACATTCATAGGACGATGTTTCGATTTTTTCCCCACATCCTGAGTGGGGTTCTTGTTTTCCCAGAACACCCTCTCCTTACCACCCACCTCCCGCGCCATCTTCCATACGCACAATATCGTATTCATTTTTCTTGTTTAGTTTATACATTCATTTCTCATTCTTCTAAAGTTGTTTGATTTTTTTGATTTTTGGTTTTATGTATTTTTCAAATCGCAGTCCTACCACACACCAATACCATAACCATAGTTCCTACCACACATACCATACCATACCATACATACCATGCCATACCATACATACCATACCATACCATACCACACCATACGTACCATACCGTACAATACCATACCATGGCGTACCATAGCATACCATACCATATCACACCAATGCCACACCGTACCATACCATACCATACCTCCAGTACATAACATCCATATCATACCATACCGTAATCAATACCTACCTACCATACCATTCCATACCACTCCATACCGAAAACCATACGACCTTACATGTTTCGTGCCCCTCCCACACCGTCCAGGGAGGCCCCCGCCTGAGCGTGCGGAAGGGTATCGGAACACGATACTATTTACAGCCCCGCCTGAGCGAGGAGGGTGTCCGAAAACCATACTATTTACATTGTTTCGTGCCCCTCCCACCCCTGCAGGGAGGCCCCGCCTGAGCGAGGAGGGTTTCGGACAACCATACTATTTACATGGTTTCGTGCCCCTCCCACCCCTCCATGGAGGCCCAGCCTGAGCGAGGAGGGTATCCGAAAACCATACTATTTACCTGGTTTCGTGCCCCTCCCACCCCTGCAGGGGGACCCAGCCTGAGCGAGGAGGGTATCCGAAAACCATACTATTTACATGGTTTCGTGCCCCTCCCACCCCTCCATGGAGGCCCCGCCTGAGCGAGGAGGGTATCGGAAAACAATATTATTTACATGGTTTCGTGCCCCTCCCACCCCTCCAGGGAGGCAAAACCATACTATTTACATGGTTTCGTGCCCCTCCCACACCTCCAGGGATGCCCCGCCTGAGCGAGGAGGGTATCGGCAAACCATACTATTTACATGGTTTCGTGCCCCTCCCACACCTCCAGGGAGGCCCCGCCTGAGCGAGGAGGGTATCGGCAAACCATACTATTTACAGGGTTTCGTGCCCCTCCCACACCTCCAGGGAGGCCCCGCCTGAGCGAGGAGGGTTATCCGAAAACCATCGAACCATTTTCCCCACATCCTGAGTGGGGTTCTTGTTTTCCCAAAACACCCTCTCCTTCCCACCCACCTCCCGCTCCATCTTCCATACAGCACAATATTATTCCTACCACACACACCATACCATACCATAGTTCCTACCACACATACCATACCATACCATACCATACCACACCATACGTACCATACCGTACCATACCATACTTGCGTTACCATAGCTACATACCATATACACCATGCACACCGTACCAATACCATACCATACCTCCAGTACCATACCATACCATACCGTACCATACCATACCTACCATACCATTCCATACCACTCCATACCGAAAACCATACTACTTACATTGTTTCGTGCCCCTCCCACCCCTCCAGGGATGCCCCGCCTGAGCGAGGAGGGTATCGGATAACCATACTATTTACATGGTTTCGTGCCCCTCCCACCTCTCCAGGGAGGCCCCGCCTGAGCGAGGAGCGTATCGGAAAACCATACTATTTGCATGGTTTCGTGCCCCTCCCACCCCTCCAGGGAGGCCCCGCCTGAGCGAGGAGGGTATCGGACAACCATACTATTTACATGGTTTCGTGCCCCTCCCACCTCTCCAGGGAGGCCCCGCCTGAGCGAGGAGGGTATCCGAAAACCATACTATTTACATGGTTTCGTGCCCCTCCCACACCTCCAGGGAGGCCCCGCCTGAGCGAGGAGGGTATGGGAAAACACTGTATTTACATTGTTTCGTGCCCCTCCCACCCCTCCAGGGAGGCCCCGCCTGAGCGAGGAGGGTATCCGAAAACCATACTATTTACATGGATTCGTGCCCCTCCCACCCCTCCAGGGAGGCCCCGCCAGAGCGAGGAGGGTATCGGAATACCATACTATTTACATGGTTTCGTGCCCCTCCCACCCCTCCAGGGAGGCCCCGCCTGAGCGAGGAGGGTATCGTATAACCATACTATTTTACATTGGTTTCGTGCCGCCTCCCACCCTCATGGTGCCCCGCCTGAGCGAAGAGGGGTATCCCGAAAACCATAGGCACTATCTTTACTGTGTTTTCGTGCCCCTCACCCACACCCCACGGGAGGCCCCGCCTGAGCGAGGAGGGTATCGGAAAACCATACTATTTACATGGTTTCGTGCCCCTCCCACCCTTCCAGGGAGGCCCCGCCTGAGCGAGGAGGGTATCCGAAAACCATACTATTTACATGGGTTCGTGCCCCTCCCACCCCTCCAGGGAGGCCCCGCCTGAGCGAGGAGGGTATCGGAATACCATACTATTTACATGGTTTCGTGCCCCTCCCACCCCTCCAGGGAGGCCCCGCCTGAGCGAGGAGGGTAACGGCATACCATACTATTTACATGGTTTCGTGCCCCTCCCACCCCTGCAGGGAGGCCCCGCCTGAGCGAGGAGGGTATCCGAAAACCATACTATTTACATGGTTTCGTGCCCCATCCCACCTCTCCAGGGAGGCAAAACCATACTATTTACATGGTTCCGTGCCCCTCCCACACCTCCAGGGCACAAAACCTCTAGGGCTTGCAGCGCTTAACGCCGTGTGCACAAAACCATAATGCAGCGATACATTGTTTGGGGGATTATTGGCAGTCTTTTAAACCGCTCTTGGCCGATCAGTGTCTGCGTTCGAATTGTAGTTACCAGACACCTCGGCAAGTGCTTTCGTCTAGCGAACTCGTGTCGCCCACACTCTTGTATAACCTCGACTGGACGAGGGAAATGAGACCACTCAGACCAACCTCACGAATCGGACCTCACGAGGAAAATGAGACCACTCAAACCAACCTCCCGCTGCTGCTCCTGCTGCGGTTCCTGCTGCTGCTCTTCGCCATCATCCATCTTATCCTCTTCCTCCTCCTCCTCCTCCTCCTCCTCCTCCTCCTCCTCTTCCTGGAGGGTATCGGAAAACATGGTGTTTACACGGTTTCGTGTCCCCCCTCCACTCCTCCAGAGAGGCCGCGCTTGAACGAGGAGGGTCGCGGAAAGCATTACTCTTCGCCAGGTTTCGTAGCCCTCCCCCCTTCCAGCGGGGCCCCGCCAAAGCGAGGAGGGCATCAAGAAAATGGGTCCCACGAAACCGTTAATCTCTTTATGTGGGGAACTCCGTTAGCATTTTTTTGATTGTTGTCTTATTCCCCAATCAGAGCTTGCTTCTGTAGGGGTCCTAGCGGATATAAAGCTGAGGTGAGGTCGGCGGCCGATTTCGGTGGCCGGGGCCGGGTGCCCGGGTGCCCGGGGGTGCCCGGGTGGCCGATTTCGGTGGCCGGGCCCGGGTGCCCGGGTGCCCGGGTGCCCGGGGGTGCCCGGGTGCCCGGGGTGCCCGGGTGCCCGGGTGTGCCCAATAGCCCAATAGCCCAGTAGCCCTATAGCCCGATAGCCCTATAGCCGTATAGCCCTATAGCCCTGTAGCCTTATAGCCTTATATCCCTATAGCCCTAATAGCCTTATATCCCTATAGCCCTATAGCCCCATAGCCCATATAGCTCTATAGCCCCATAGCCCTATAGCCCTATGGCCCTATGGCCCTATAGGTCACAGTCCTATAGCCCTATAGCCCGATAGCCCTATAGCCCGATAGCCCTATAGCCCAATAGCCCTATAGCCCTATGGCCCGCCCTCGCGCCTTCCCCGCCCCTGCGGGCGAGCGCCACGGCGCCCACGCTGCCCGTCGCCGGTCTGCCGCACCCGCGCCGGCGAGAGGATCGGGGGCCCCCGCACGGGGTGGTGGCCACACCGTGCGGTGAGGCGGCGAGGATTGGTGGGTCACCGCACGGTCGTGGGACTCGGGTCGTGTTCCGAGGACGTCTCGGGCGACCTCCGAGGTCCCAAGGCCGTGCGGTGAGGGTGCGGTGAGGTCTTGGGGGATTTCGGGGTGACCGCACGGTCTCTCACCGCACCGTTTCGGGACTCCAGAGATTTGTCGCGGCCCTCCGTCGTCGCCGACCCGTCGCCGCCGTCCTTCCCCCTCTGTCGTGACGATCGCGGTCTGCTGCCCGACTCTGGAGGCCAAGAGCGAAACGCGAATAGGAGGAGGAGGAGGAGGAGGAGGAGGAGGAGGAGGAGGAGGAGGAGGAGGAGGAGGAGGAGGAGGATTCGCTCAGTGTATGGCCAAATGTCAAGAATCCGGAAGGACGGAGGAGGAGGAGGCGGAGAGGAGGAGGAGGAGGAAGAGGACAGGATGCAGGCGGAGCGGAGGCGGGGGGACGGAGGAGGAGGAAGAGGATGAGGATGAGGCGTAGCAGGAGGAGGAGAAGGAGGAGGAGGGGGCAGAGGAGGATGTCAGGATGGCGGAGGAGAAGGAGGAGGAGGCGACGGAGGAGGAGGCGGGGGAGCAAGAGGGCCACGAGGGCACCGGGCGGGCGGCCCGCACGGCGCAGGCGAGCGCGGCAGGCCGGTCCGCCTCCGCGGCGTGTCGCTGGACCTCTCGCAGCGGCGCGGGGCGCCCGGCTGGGGCGCGGACGCCGTGCACTGGCTGGTGCGCACCCGAGCCCCCCCCACCCTCCCTGCGGGGGGGGGAGGGAAGGAAGAGGAGGAGGAGGAGGAGGAGGAAGAGGAGGAGGAGGAGGAGGAGGACGAGGAGGAGGAGGAGGAGGAGAAGGAGGAGGAGGAGGAGGTGAGCAGGGAGAGGAGGAGGGGAAGGTCGCTGTCTGAGTGGGGGGCACTTCCCTATGCATGGGATGTTCGAATAAGAAAAAATAGCCCAACAAATAGTCAGGGATCATGATTTTTCCTATTTGGGGCTACCTCTGATCATTCGTTGACGATTTTTGATGTTTTTCAAACTCCGCCTGTAGGAGGGCATGCGACGCCTGTAAGGCTGGATCGGGGCCAGGGGCAGCGTTGACGGGACATTGGTCGTGCTTGGAAGCTTTCTGGGAATTTCTAGGCCTCCCGGATGGGGGCGGAGTAATGAAATGGGGGTCGGAGGATCGCCGATGCATCGTCGATGCATGGGCGATTCTTCGGCGATGCGGCCCGATGTGGGGCCCAATTTTCTCCACGCCGACGTGGCCGATGCATCGCCGAGGTCGCCAGTGCATCGCCGATGTATCGGCGATCCGGTGAGATCTTCCAACCCAATCTGCTCGGATCCCATCTAGGAGGCCTCTAGAAATAGTGGTGGAGACCCGGGATGGTGTCCATCGGCTGTGCCTCGTTGAGGGCGTTCTGCGGGCGCCTGGATCGTCCCGCACTATGTGTGCTGCTCCCGCTGGACGTCGACAGTGATTGAGGCGTTCGGACCTGTGGGTGTTCTTTGTTTTTTTGTTGCTTTTTCGAAGGGAGGAGGGGAAGGGACCGCGAGTGGGGGAGCCAACATGTTTCGGATTGCCTTGTGATTGTTTCCGGGGCCTGGAAATGTTAAGAGTATTATTTTCGGGGATGGGAAACTGGCCCAGTAGGACACCCAAAGAGCCCGCAGGTCGTTGTGGAGTGGGTTCCGTCGAAAGACACGGCGACGGGCGACGAACATGTCAATATCCATGTTTTCGAGGTCTAGACACTTGTGGGGTCCAACACCCGCATAGCAGGGCGCCACGAGGGCGTGGAAAGGCCCGTCGAAGAACCCTGGAAGAACCTGGACAGAGTTTTCGAAGGACCTTCTGGGGAGCTTCGGGGCACGCGTATTCGGAAACGCTTAGGAAAGGCCTCTCCGGACCCGCTGCCGGTTCAAGCAGCCTGCGTCGAGGCTTCCTGCAAGCAGCCGGAACGACCTCCGGGGCTACCCTGCGGCTCTGGCTTCTGAATATGAAACCCATCTTAGCCCTCTACGAGCTATCTGGGAACTGTCGAGGCGCGATTCCCAGGATCCAGTGGGTTCCAAAGAGGGTTTTTGGGAAGGGGGTTCTCCAGGAGGGGTCCCCCAGGGGCTTCGCACCCCCTGTTTCGACGAGGCTCCGAGGCCCCTGGGGGGCTCTCTGGAAAACAACCTCTCCGAAAAACACTTTTTTCGAATCCTCTGGGGGATGCCCGATCCCATGGACAGTGCGTTCCTCGCGGAGGAGGCGCGCAGGGCCCCCTGTGCATGATCGGGGGGGGGCGCCGAGGCGCTCGAGTCTGGACCACGAGGGGCCGTGGATCGGAGGTTGGGTTCGGAGGTGAGGTGAGGAGGAGGAGGAGGAGAAGGACGAGGAGGAGGAGGAGGAGGAGGAGGAGGAGGAGACGGAGGAGGAGGAGGAGGAGAGGATGAGGAGGAGGAGGATGAGGAGGACGGAGGAGGAGAGGGAGGAGGAGTACGGACGAGTAGGAGGGGGGGAGGAGGAGAAGGGAGGAGGAGGACGGGACGAGGGAATGCAGAGGAGGATACGAGACGAGGACGAGTAGGAGGAGGGGGAGAAAGAGTAGGAGGAGGAGGAGGGAGAGGAGGAGGCAGGAGGAGGAGGAGGAGGAGGAGGAGAGAGGAGGAAGGAGGGGGAGGAAGAGGAGGAGAGGAGGAGGAGGGGAGAGTCGGATGAGGAGGCGGAGGAGGACGAGGACGAGGAGGAGGAGGAGGAGGAGGAGGAGTAGGAGGAGGAGGAGGAGGAGGATGAGAGGAGGAGGAGGAGCGGAGGAGGAGGAGGAGTGAGAGGAGAGAGGAGGAGGAGGAGGAGGAGGAGGGAGGAGGAGGAGGAGGAGGAGGGGGAGGAGGAGGAGGAGGAGGAGGAGGAGGAGGAGGAGGGGAGGAGGAGGAGGAGGAGGAGGAGGAGGAAGAGGAGGAGGAGGAGGGAGGGGGGAGGAGGAGAGAAGGGAGGAGGAAGGAGGTGGGGAGGATGGAGAGGGGTAGGGAGGAGGAGGAGGAGGAGGAGGAGAAGTGAAACGTGAGGAGCCCCCATCTGGAAATCGTGTCGTTTCGTGCGTGACCTACGTGCGGGCGAAGCGAGGTCGTCCCGATAGGCAGTGAGGTTATCATATAGGAAGTCCTTATGGACACCATCAGATAGGCAGTGAGGTTATCATATAGATGTGTGTTTGAGACGCGCATACATTCATTCTAGTTCTGGTGAAAAGCAGGCGGATCGTGAGATTGTCTCGATGGTCATCCCGATGGTTGTCCTGACGGTTGTCCCGATGGTTGTCTCGGTGATTGGCCCGATGGTGGTCCCGATTGGTACTCTGGGTGTGATGTTAATCGAGGGGTGGGCGACGAACCTTCCGACGGAGCTTGCCCATGCCCCCCCTCCTCCACATCCACCTTCTCCTCATCCTCCTCCTCCCCCTCCCCCTTCTCCTCCTCCTCCTCCTCCTCCTCCTCCTTCTCCCCCCCTCCACCCGTTCGGACAGCACGTGCCCAATCCTCCCAGCGGATCCAAAGGGGGCTCGATTATTGCCCCATCGAGAGCAGACAGTGACATCGGCACACACACACACACACACCTATCCCTCTTTCTTTATTTCTTATTGTTATAAGCCTGGGCGGGGGGGCCCCCCAAAAAAATTAGCCTGGCGAAGGACCCAACCATATGCAGTTGAGAGTACCGCAATTGTGAATATCTTCTTCGGTGGCGCTCCCTATGGGGCCACGAGCCGTATGAGGGGTGTGCCGAAATGCGTGGCAGTGTACAGAACACGAACGAAGACGATAGGTCCGAATATGAAAGCTTGAGCGCGTGCGAGTCGATCGCGAGCGACGTCTGATTATAATGTGATGAGGGAATTCTTCGCGAGATTGATTCTATTCGCTGAATGCGTGCATGGATTTTTCAGCTGTAAATGTATGTATATGACTGTGAACAGTTTGGGTCGCGTGACTCTCGGTCTCGTGACTCTAGAGCGTCGCTCTGCAGGGGCTTCCATGGGAACCCGACGGCAGCGCCCGCGCGCCGCGACGCCCAGCGGCACGCCGCACACTGGGGTGGGGGCGGGCCATGCGGACGGCAGCACTGGGCATTCGGTGGGAGCTCACCTGTGGGGCCACGAAACGTGTGAGGGGTGTGCCGAAATGGGTGTGCGGGACGCATGCGGACGGCAGCCCTGGGGCCTTCGGTGGAGCTCCCTGTGGGGCCACGAAACGGGTGAGGGGTGTGCCGAAATGGGTGTGCGGGACGCATGCGGACGGCAGCACTGGGGCCTTCGGTGGAGCTCCCTATGGGGCCACGAAACGTGTGAGGGGTGTGCCGAAATGGGTGTGCGGGACGCATGCGGACGGCAGCCATGGGGCCTTCGGTGGAGCTCCCTGTGGGGCCACGAAACGTGTGAGGGGTGTGCCGAAATGGGTGTGCGGGAAGCATGCGGACGGCAGCACTGGGGCCTTCGGTGGAGCTCCCTGTGGGGCCACGAAACGTGTGAGGGGTGTGCCGAAATGGGTGTGCGGGACGCATGCGGACGGCAGCCATGGGGCCTTCGGTGGAGCTCCCTATGGGGCCACGAAACGTGTGAGGGGTGTGCCGAAATGGGTGTGCGGGACTCATGCGGACGGCAGCCATGGGGCCTTCGGTGGAGCTCCCTATGGGGCCACGAAACGTGTGAGGGGTGTGCCGAAATGGGTGTGCGGGACGCATGCGGACGGCAGCACTGGGGCCTTCGGTGGAGCTATTCCCTATGGGGCCACAACTGTGTGAGGTGTGGCCCGAAATGGGTGTGGTCGGACGCATTGCGGAACGGCACACTGGGCCTTCGGTGGAGCTCCGGGCTGTGGCAGCGAAAACGTGTGGAGGGGGTGCGAAATGGGTGTGCGGAACGCATGCGAACGCAGCCATGGGGCCTTCGGTGGAGCTCCCTAATGGGGCCACGACGGTGAGGGGGGGTGTGCCGAAATGGGTTGGCGGGACCGCATCGGACGGCGCACTGGGGCCATTCGGTGGAGCTCCTGTGGGGGCCACGAACGTGGAGGGGTGTGCCGAAATGGGTTCGCGGGACGCATGCGCGGCAACACTGGGCCTTCGTGGGTCCCCTGTGGGGCCACGAACGTGTGGAGGGGTGACACGTGTGAGGGGTGTGCCGAAATGGGTGTGCGGGACGCATGCGGACGGCAGCACTGGGGCCTTCGGTGGAGCTCCCTGTGTGGCCACGAAACGTTTGAGGGGTGTGCCGAAATGTGTGTGCGGGACGCATGCGGACGGCAGCACTGGGGCCTTCGGTGGAGCTCCCTGTGGGGCCACGAAACGTGTGAGGGGTGTGCCGAACTGGGTGTGCGGGACGCATGCGGACGGCAGCACTGGGGCCTTCGGTGGAGCTCCCTGTGGGGCCACGAAACGTGTGAGGGGTGTGCCGAAATGGGTGTGCGGGACGCATGCGGACGGCAGCCATGGGGCCTTCGGTGGAGCTCCCTATGGGGCCACGAAACGTGTGAGGGGTGTGCCGAAATGGGTGTGCGGGACGCATGCGGACGGCAGCCATGGGGCCTTCGGTGGAGCTCCCTATGGGGCCACGAAACGTGTGAGGGGTGTGCCGAAATGGGTGTGCGGGACGCATGCGGACGGCAGCCATGGGGCCTTCGGTGGAGCTCCCTATGGGGCCACGAAACGTGTGAGGGGTGTGCCGAAATGGGTGTGCGGGACGCATGCGGACGGCAGCACTGGGGCCTTCGGTGGAGCTCCCTATGGGGCCACGAAACGTGTGAGGGGTGTGCCGAAATGGGTGTGCGGGACGCATGCGGACGGCAGGAGGAGAGGGGGAGGAGGAGAGGAGGAGGAGACGCGGACCACCGTCTCTTCAAAACGAGGACCCAACACCACAGGAAGGTTGGGAAATTAGCCTGGCGAAGGACCCAACCATATGCAGTTGAGAGTACCGCAATTGTGAATATCTTCTTCGGTGGCGCTCCCTATGGGGCCACGAGCCGTATGAGGGGTGTGCCGAAATGCGTGGCAGTGTACAGAACACGAACGAAGACGATAGGTCCGAATATGAAAGCTTGAGCGCGTGCGAGTCGGATCGCGAGCGAGTCTGATTATGAATGAATCTGCGCGCGATTGATTCTATTCGCATGAATGCGTGCATGGATACGCCCAGTGTAAATGTATGTATACGACTGTGAACAGTTTGGGTCTGCGTGACTCTCGGTACTCGTGACTCTGAGCGTCGCCTCTGCAGGGGGCTTCCCTGGGAACCCCGACGGCAGCGCCCGCGCGCCGCGACGCCCATGTCGGCACGCCACACACCTGGTGTGCGGGACGCATGCGGACGGCAGCACTGGGGCCTTCGGTGGAGCTCCCTGTGGGGCCACGAAACGTGTGAGGGGTGTGCCGAAATGGGTGTGCGGGACGCATGCGGACGGCAGCCATGGGGCCTTCGGTGGAGCTCCCTATGGGGCCACGAAACGTGTGAGGGGTGTGCCGAAATGGGTGTGCGGGACGCATGCGGACGGCAGCACTGGGGCCTTCGGTGGAGCTCCCTGTGGGGCCACGAAACGTGTGAGGGGTGTGCCGAAATGGGTGTGCGGGACGCATGCGGACGGCAGCCATGGGGCCTTCGGTGGAGCTCCCTATGGGGCCACGAAACGTGTGAGGGGTGTGCCGAAATGGGTGTGCGGGACGCATGCGGCGGCAGCCATGGGGCCTTCGGTGGAGCTCCCTATGGGAGCACACGTGTGAGGGGTGTTGCCTGCGGACGCATCGGCCTGGAGCTCCCTATGGGGCCACGAAACGTGTGAGGGGTGTGCCGAAATGGGTGTGCGGGACGCATGCGGACGGCAGCACTGGGGCCTTCGGTGGAGCTCCCTGTGGGGCCACGAAACGTGTGAGGGGTGTGCCGAAATGGGTGTGCGGGACGCATGCGGACGGCAGCATGGGGCCTTCGGTGGAGCTCCCTATGGGGCCACGAAACGTGTGAGGGTGTGTATGTGCATCCTTCGGTGTGTGCGGGACGCCATGCGGACGGCAGCACTGGGGCCTTCGGGGAGCTCCCTGTGGGGCCACGAAACGTGTGAGGGGTGTGCCGAAATGGGTGCGCGGGACGCATGCGGACGCAGCCATGGGGCCTTCGGTGGAGCTCCCTGTGGGGCCACGAAACGTGTGAGGGGTGTGCCGAAATGGGTGTGCGGGACGCATGCGGACGGCAGCCATGGGGCCTTCGGTGGAGCTCCCTATGGGGCCACGAAACGTGTGAGGGGTGTGCCGAAATGGGTGTGCGGGACGCATGCGGACGGCAGCACTGGGGCCTTCGGTGGAGCTCCCTGTGGGGCCAAGAAACGTGTGAGGGGTGTGCCGAAATGGGTGTGAGAGCAAAGGCAAGGAGGAGGAGGAGGGGGGAGGGGGGGAGGAGGAGAGGAGGAGGAGACGCGGACCACCGTCTCTTCAAAACGAGGACCCAACACCACAGGATGGTTGGGAAAAAACGGACTCCCAGGATCTGGGGCTTTGGGACCCTCCCGGCGGGCCTCGAAGCGGCCCCCGGGCCTCGCATGGCGTTTTGCCAAGCCTTCCCAGCACACCTAGGGCGATCAGGAGGGTCATCGGAGACGTCCGCGAGACCCCCAAGACAGCACAAGAGCGCTCCAAGAGTGACCGACGTGACCTCAAGATGGCCCAGGAGGCCTCCAGGACGGCCCCAAAGAGGGCTCCAAGAGCACTCCCAAGAAGGCCCCCCGAGGCAAAAATCATGGATTTTCTTTTTGTTTTTGGTGAATTTTGGGGTTCTCCTCTTTTCGGCTTCCCGACGCTCCAAGACGGCGGTCTTCTGGGCGTCCGAAGCTGCCTGGGAGGCTCCAAAATCGCCCCACAACCATCCGAAAGGGCTCCAGGCAGTCCAAGAGAGCCCCAAAACGGTACAACACGGGTCCAAGATGGCCCTCAGAGAGCCCCATGGCGGTCCAAGATGGCCTAAAGACACCCGCCGAAGAATTCCAAATCGTAATTCGGTCGTTCAGGGAGACCGCGGTTGGAGGCAGGGTGGCCCGAGGAAGCCCCCAGAGGCCCCCAGATTACGCCCAGGAGGCCTCCAGATGGCCTGAAGAAAACCTGAAACAACTTTTGTGACGCCCCTAGAGGCTATCCAAGAAGGATTCTCCGCAAAAAAGAGCTGAGGAGGATGGGGAGAATGCTCAGGGTATGGCGAACATGAGGAAAAAGAAGCATGGAGGAAGGATACCGAATAACATTATAATAGCGGCGATGCCGGAGAAGGCAACAAGGAGTTATCGCTAAATTGTCGGCTTGACCTTCCTGCTTTTCCGCCTGCATACCAAACTTCAAGTACCAAGGTGCATGGCGCGAAGCGCCACTGCAGTCTTGTATCTATATATATATATATATATATATATATATAGATGTTGAAAGTGAAACCAGTAGATCTCGAGTGAGACCGATAGATCGTGAGACCGATCGTGACGTCAGGTTATTCTTCAATCCTGGCTTCAGAAGCCTCTCCCGGGCCCCTGGACCGTCAAAAGAAACAAACAAGGACAACAGGTGGGCCCCCCAGGAAGAGATCGAGAACTGCGGGACGCCGCGCCAAAAGGCGTCGAAGGTCTAAGTTGAGGAGTTTGTGACAGTGCAGCTTGCTCCTCGAGGCCCAGTCGACAGACAAGCCTGGCGCAACTCGACGCCCCGGAGCGTCGTCTGTGCAGCGGTGCGAGGCCCTTGCGGCCACTCGAGCGGGCGGAGCTTGCGCTGCCCCTGAGGGGCGATGTACCTGGCGGGAGCGCTCTCCAGGCGGGTGCACGGGCAAGGGGCGTGCTTTCGTTGTCGCGTTGGGCCCTTGAGGCAGTGGTTGGGTCTGCCTCGTAAGTCCAGTCAGGAGGCTTTCCTCCAGGCCAAGTCCCGAGGGTTCTTTCATATGGTGAGGAGTAGCAGCAGCAGCAGCAGCAGCAGCAGCAGCAGCAGCAGCAGCAGCAGCTGCGGCAGCTGCGGCAGCAGACGGAGCAGTAGGAGGATCAACGGCAGCAGCATGAAGAGCAGGATAGGATGGGCAGGTGGAGCAGGCAGGGGAGATTGAGGAGGGGGAGGGAAGGGGTGAAGGGGGAGGAAGGGGCTGGGGGAGTAGCAGCCGCCTCCGACACACCGCAGGTGACAGACTGGCGCGTAACACTCATCCGTGCTTCCATGAGGGTCGAGATGGGCGAGCACCAAGCGCATGATGACATTGACACGGCCGAGGTGGTGTTTCGGCATTGCTGTCTCCCTTGTCTCTACTCCTGCCGTCTTCTGCCTCATGCTCCTCGCTGCGTCTCCTCTTCTCGTTTTCATCCTTCCGCCTCTTCTCACATAGATCAGAGGCCGTGAAATCATCTTGGAGGCTGTTTTTCGTCACAGGCGTATCTAGTGATAGGTTGGCGATCTGGGCGCGTGGTGCTCCACCAACCGCCACCTACTGGACCATTGTTGCTATCACGCACGCTGTCAACATGATCGGCGTCTCCAGCCGAAGCCGTGCGATCGAAACATGCTGGTCGAAGGTACACCCGCTGCACGTCTGCATCCGCGGCTTCAGGGTATAGCCTGGCACGGCCTGCCAAATATCCGTATCATGATCTGGACCAGCCATGGGCCTTCGAGACTGGATGAGATCCCAAACGCTAGGCGCGAAATGCAGAGTCGCAGCAGAAAGGGGCACTGGCGCATCTCAGGAACATTTCTATTTTACCACCAACCCAGCCACCCAAACCCAAGCCGAAGGCCCCAATTTTCCACTCCCAGTGGGGGGAGGGCGTGGGGGGAATGTGGAAAAACACGCATATTATGCAACCCGTAACTACTCCCAAAAAACCCGAAATGTTGATCTTTTGGTTGGGTTGGGGTGGTCTGGTGGGTAGTCACTATCTGACTCGACAGGGGCCCTGAGCACAGCGGTTATGTGGTGAAGCACCCCCGGGCCATGGGCCGTGCGCTGTGGAGCGCACAGCCTCCGCAGGGGTCCGTCGACCAGCAGACAGCCGCCTGCACTCCCACGGGATCGATTTGAGGATCGCTCTGTGGCCGGAGGAGGACAAGGGGTCCTCATGTTCGCCTACCTTTCCATCGTTTTCCTCGTTTTCGCTACCTGGGCCGTCCCTCTGTTTTCCTCGTTTTCTTCGTTTGCGCTTCCTTGTTTTCCTCGTTTTCGTTGTGGTCTGTACCGATACCGCTACCCTCCCCTCGTTTCCGCACCTCTGGGCCTCCTGAGAGGCCCTCGTCGCCATCGCTGGATTCGCCTCGAAGTCTTGGTCAGAACGCAACCCGGGAGAGGTCCGGGGAGTAGCGGTATCGGTTCGGGTGTTGCTAGAAGTGCCCCTGGCCCACGGTGCCCCCGGTTTTGCGCTCCGTTTGGGAGCCCCTGGGGCCCCCTGGGCCTTGTGAGGGGTGCCCTGGAGGCCGTCTGGGCCACCCTGAGAATTCTGGGGGTACCTTGGGCCAGGGGTACTTCTGGCAACACCCGGTAGGTAGCTTGTGGAGTCCCCATCTGGTGTTGCTGAAGTCGTGCAGGGGCGCTGAAGGAAGAGTGTGCCGCGGACCGCTTGGAAGCATACCGGGCACTCCAGGAAGGGCCTCGCCTTCGAGGGGTGCAACGCGTTGCCTTCTCTTCCTCGGCGGAAGGCAGCGGACGGTTTGGGGGAAGCTGGAGGAAGCAAAAGTTGTGCAGCTCCGCCAGCGCAAGCCCGGCGAAAGGCCGGCGGAAGCCAGCAGAAGCATTTTATTTGGTTCAGAGTCTGGAGTCTGCGATATGGGTGGGGGGAGGATTACTGATCTGAAGAATACTGGTGTCTTGGCACACCGAAATCCATCAGCCATGTCATCCTCGCCTCCCCAGTCGCCATGGAGACGCTCAGGGGCAAGATCGCCGAGCGGCAGGATCTCAGGGTGCATACCTTCCCCAGCCAGTTGGCTCAAGGGGGGCGCCGTGCGGGGGGGAGGAGGAGGAGGAGGAGGAGGAGGAGGAGGAGGAGGAGGCGGGAAGCGGAGCGGTTCGCGGCGCGGACGCCCGCGGCCACATGCCATGGGCGCCTCCACGAGCCGCTGGCTCGCCGCCGCCGCGGCCCTGCTGCGGTGGCGGGCCGCCCCCGCGCAGATCGTGGAGTTCCACGACTACCCCGCGCCGCCGCCGCGGTCGCTCGCCTCGGCCTACGCGTTCTTCGTCTACAACTCCAGCGGGGAGGCCCCGGCGGCCCCGGGCACGCCCTACCTGGCGCTCGAGGGGTTCCGTCCACAGCAGCAAGTCGTGGGAGCCCCTTCGTGCGTCTTCGGGGCGCCGTCTTTTTAGCGTGTGCCGTCGCGTGCGCCAGCGAGCGGTAGTCGATGAGAACGGGCCAACGTGGGCATCGGTCAGCACAGATTTAGCATCGATGAGCGCCGATTAGCGTCAGCCAGCGTGGATTCGCAGGGGCCAGCAAAACGACATGGGAGGCTCCCATGAGTTGCCACAGAAGGTTCCGGGCCCGGTCCGCCAGCGGTCGCCAGTCGCACCTGGGCGGCTCCGGGCTCCCCACCTACGGCGGGGTGCAGATCACCGTGCTGAGGCACGCGGATGTGGGCTGGCTGCTCGACCTCGGCGGGGGGCTGTGCTCGACGCTGGACGACGTGCGGAGGAAGCGGGCCCGGAGCGCGGGCAAGCTGCTCGTCGAGAGGTCGGGGCTCCTCGGCGACGTCAACGGCAGCCTGCACCCGTACGGCGAAGTCTTTCAGCAGATGGTGCCCTTCGATGCCACGGCGCCGAGCGACCAGTGGCCCATCCAGATGAGCGGCGTCTACCTGCTGCTGGTGTCGAACTGCGGCGACACCCCCGACGCCACCATCAGCGGGACGGCGAGGGTCCGGCACGCGCACGGCTACCTCCCCGGGAACGAGTTTCCGAAGAAGATCTTCTACGGCTGGCTCGTCCTTGCGTACGGCGCGGTTGGGGCCGCCTGGGGGATCCTCTGCGCGCAGTGGTGGAGGGAGCTCTGCCAGATCCACCTGTGCATCTCTCTGGTGCTTCTGCTCGGCCTCGGGGAGTCGCTCCTCTGGAGGGCCTTCTATTGGGAGTGGAACGAGTCGGGCCGGGTCGACGACCGCGCCGCGACGATCTTCACCGCCGCCATGCTGTGCACCGTCGCAAAGTCAACCTTGTCGTCCACGCTGGTTTTGGTGGCCTCGCTGGGCTGGGGCGTCACCAGGGCACACCTGGACCGTGGGACTGTGCGCAGAGTCGGCTGGCTGTCCTTCTTGCACATCTGCTTTTCGTTTGCGCGCGAGATGGTGCTGTCCTTCCGGCACAGCCACTCAATCTCGGTCTCAACCGTTCTTGTCATTTTTGCCCCTGTATCTCTGATGAACGTTGTGATCTTCTGCTGGGTGTTCTCGGCCATCAGTGGCGTGATGGAGAAGCTCAGGAAGGAGCAGCAGCTCGAGAAGCTGAGGCTGTACTCCGCGCTCTTCGCAGTCCTCGTGGCGGCGATAGGCGTGGCCGCGGTTGCGCTGACCGTGGAGATGCACAGCATGTGGAGGCCGCCCCAGGAGGTGTGGCAGCACCGGTGGGTCCTCACGGACGCCGTGAGCCACCTGCTCTTCTTGCTGCTGCTGGTCGTGACGATGTGCCTCTGGGCGCCGAACTCCCAGAGCCGCACGTACGCGTACGCGGAGCAGGTGACCGGCGTGGACCTCGACGACCACCCGCTCGACGCAGGTGGGGCGCGTGCGGAGGTCCTCGGCCGGCGGGCCGGCCCCTGCCTGGGCGAGGAGGAGGGCTCCGGGGAGGAGGCCTGCCTGGCCGAGCCTGCCTCCGAGGCCTGAGCGGCGCCACGGGGCGTGGCTTCCGCAGGCCGCCGCCGGCCGCCGCGACCGTCGGCGGCCCTCGGTTGGCGCCGGGCGGCCCCTCCGGCGGCCCCTTCCGGCGGCCTCTCGGCGGCTGTGCTTTCGGGCGTCCTCGTGGGGTCCTCGGCGGCTTCCCGGCCTCGGGATGCCTTCAGGAGCGGCGCCTCGGAGAGGGAGGGGGGGCAGGCTCTGGGCAGGGGGGGAAAGCGTCGACCCCGCTTCATGGGCGGCCCACACTTCGTTAGGCACTCGCGACGCACTCAGACGTGGTCAAGTGTGGACCACTTGTGAGTACTGAAGCTGCTTGCGAAGCCATGTGAGCTAAGCCGAGCTGAGCTAACTACAGCTAGCTATAATCTTCGGTCTCGCGCAAGCGGAATGTGAAGCTGGGCAAATGCCAGTCTCCGATTCCTTCGAAGGGGCCCGCCAGAGGGGCCCGATGGCCCGCCGCGCCCAGGACCGCGTAAGCTCGCGCGCAGGCGGCCCGCGTAAGCTCGCGCGTGGGCGCCCTCGTCTCCACTGCAGCATGCCGCGCTGTCGGTCCGCGCACGCCGCCGCCTAGGACCCGCTCCGGATCGTCGCTCACGCGCCGGGCGCCGTCGCGCGCGCGCGCATGGCGCCGACGCCCTCGCCGCCGCTCGCGCCGCCGCGGCCGGCACGGGGCACCGTGCGCCGGGCGGGCGGCCGCGGCCGTGCGGAGCTGGAGAGACCGCGGAGGGCGCCGGGCCCACAGCGCTGCCCTCGGACCCAGGCCTCCGACGCAGTGAAAAAGCAAGCGCTGCGTACCCCAAGGCACAACGTATTGAAAAAAGCAAGGTGGCGCGTTGTCTCGTCAGCTTCGGGCTCTACAGGGGGCCCTCGCCTGGCCCTGGGAGCGTCACACAACGACGCGGGAGGAAAAACCGGCCCTCGGGAAACGGTCGAGACTTCCAGGGACGCACGCCGTGTTGACAGAATCGACGTCGGATCTCTGGGTAATCCGATAGCCCTTATAACGGCGACGATGGAACACAGTGCCGGGGAACTGCTTTGAACATCACCAGTCGTTCAAAGCAGTGCCCCGGCACTGCTTTGAACGATGCGGAAATGCGATCAGCAGGAGCCTTCGTCTGTTCCTTCTCCTCTTCTCGTCGCTGTATGCTCTTCCTTGTCCTCCCTCCTCCCCCGTTCCCTCTCTAATTAATTACCTCGTTCTCCCAGTCTCACGCGCACTCTTCCTCCCCCCTCTCCTCCTCCTCTTCCTGCTTCTCCTCCTCGTCCTCCTCCTCCTCCGCCTCCTCCCCCTCATTTGTTATATTTCTCCGTCCTTGTCCTCCTGTCCCCGTTCTCCTTCTCCCTCTCCTCCTCCTCCTCCTCCTCGTCGTCGTCGTCCTCCTCCTCTTCCTCCTCCTCCTCCTCCTCCTCCTCCTCCTCTTCCTCCTCCTCCTCCTCCTCCTCCTCCTCCTCCTCCCCTTTTTCCTCCTCCTCCTCCTCCCCCTTTTCCTCTCCCTCCTCCTCCTCCTCCTCCTCCTCCCCCTTCCCCCTCTTCCTCCTCTGCTATCACTCCTCCATAATTCCTGTCCGCTCCTCCCCTTCACTGATCTTCCTCTTCGTCATCATCATCCCTTTCGTCGCACGCCTCTTAATCCTCAATCGGTTCCCAATCTTCTCGACTTTCTTGTCATCCGCGTCCTTGGCTGTTGGAGGGGCCTCAGGAATTCTCAGGGCTCTTGTGTTGCACGCGAAGGCACACCTCCCAGGAACGCATCATCCTCCTCACATTCACCCTCCTCCTCCTCATCCTCCTCCTCCATGCACGTTCGGCTCAAGCCCGCGCCGACGGTAGGTTTCACGGCGGTTGGGCGGGCTCGCGCCCGCCTCCGCGGCCTGCAGTCGGGGCAGAGATGCGTGCAGGGTGGGATGACAAAGCGGAAGAGGAAACACGGGCCGCAGTTGCGGATTCTTCAAAGAGCAGCGGCGGCGGTTGGGGAACAAGTGGGGGTTGGGGCGGCCGCAGTGGCGGATACGGCGGCGGAGGTGACCGCAGTGGCGGCTGGGGCGGCGGAGATTCTCTTGGCGGATGGAGAGGAAAAGCGCAGGATGGCGGCGACGGAAGTGACCGCAGTCGCGGATGGGAGGGCGGCGGATGGGGCGGCAACGGATGCGAGGGTTGGGGAATGGAGGGCGCCCGCTGGTGGGACGACGAGGGTGGCTGGTGGAATGCATGGGAAGGTGGCCGCTCGAGTGCCTCGGCAGGTTCTCCTGCCGCGGAGCCCGCGGCCGCAACAGCGGCGGGCAAAGGAGGCGGTCCCCTGCTTCCCCCAGGGCGCGAAGAACAAGGCGCAGTTGCGCTGTTTCAAATTGTGCGCAATGAGCCGCTGCCAATTTTCAAGTTGGAATTCTTCGAGAACTTCAGGGCGAACTGGAACGGCAATTATAAGCAGCACAACGCGGCCTTGAAGTGGTTCCGAGACGAGTACGAAGACCGAGAAAACCCTTTCGGCAGCCGCACGCCCGTCTTCGGAGGTACCGCAGTTGCGGAGGAAATTTCGAAGATCCTTAAGTACCGCGCAAAGGGGAAGGCGCAGGACAACAGGGATTGGGACTGGGACCACACTGTCAAAGTGCCGTGGTCTTGGCTGGAGATGGTCGCGCAGATGGATGGACCTACAATGCTGCGCGTCGTGTGCGGCCCTGACAATGACCGCAGTCGCGGGTTGGTCCGCTGCGAGTGCCGCCCGTGCCCTAACAGTCTCGACAACATGAGGCACACGAAAGGGGTGGACAGAGGACAGGCGCAAAGAATCCCTCTGCCCCAGTGGGATTTCGTCCTCATCCGCGACGACGGCTCGGGCATTCGCGTCCACCCATCCTGGTCTAGCCCGAAGTTCAACACGTATGAGGTGGAGCCGCACTCGCATCCCGTGCGGGGCCCGAGGGCAGGTCTCGGCAAGAGCGATGGCCACGGAACGTTCACGTTCTGGAAGATGCTGCACGCCCATCCGAATCCTGGGCGGTTCGACGCGAGCAAGGGGGCGCAGCTGCAACCGCGGTGGTCCGCGCAGCCTTGACACCGCAGTTGCGGGATTGCGCAGCCATGGAACCGCAGTTGCGGGGACCGATCGCGTGACGCCGCGCTCGTTTGACTCACTATGCGCGCTTTCGGCCGCAGTTGCGGCGCTGCCTTCTAGCGACTTCATACAGCTTGGCCGCAGTTGCGGCGCTCCCACGACTGACCGCTGTAATTAGGTGCTTCGGGCGCGCATCACCTCCGTTGAAGCACTCGTGACGTTAATTAGCGCGGCCGCAGTTGCGGAGACAGGTACTTAAACAGATGGATCCGCAGTTGTTCGTCGTCCTCGTCGCCCCTTCCCCGTCGTCCTCGTCGCAGTCTCCTCCCTCCGCCTTTCCTCCTCGTCGCAGTTCCTTCCGTTGGCCGTAGCCCGCCTCCGTTGGCCGAGTCATTTCCCGTCGTCCTCGTCGCAGTCCCCCCCGAGGGCCGCAGTTGCGGACTTTGTTGATTCCTCCTCCTCCGTTTCTGCCCCGTCATCCTCGTCGCAGTCCCCTTGCTCCTTTCACCCTCGTCTGAGCTCTTCGCGCCATCCTCTTCCGTCGCGTCCTCTCCATCCTCCTCTTCGCCTTCCTCGTCCTCATCCCCGCCGTCTCCCTCGTTGTCCTTCCTCTCCCAAGCCGGCCGCAGTTCCCCCGTCGGACGGGGGCCGCGCGCGGCCACGCCATGGACCCAGGTCGCAAAGCCGAGGTCGACAAGCGGTTCGCCGAGCTGAAGCAGCAACTGCGGGAAAGGTTCGGCCTGCAAGGGGCTGCCGCGGATGCCGCAGTCGCGGAGCCGACGGAGGACCGCAGTTGCGGAAGCCCCGAGCGACCGCCGCGCGAGGCCTCCCCGCAGTCGTCTAGCTCCTCGCGGGAATATCGGCCGCCGCCGCCGATAAGCGCTGCGAGTGGGAGCTCTGCTGGTGGGAGGCGCGAAGAGGCGCAGTTGCGCAGGGCGCACTTGACCCCCAAGGCAAAATGGGGGCCTCGGGCGCAGACGCCGACGAAGCAGCAGGACCAACCAGCAGTGACGGGAGCCGCCACCGAGACCGCAGTTGCGGGGGTGGCCGGCGAGCCAGGTGCCGCGCGCGGCTCATCTGGGAGCAGCGCGCCCTCGGCCGTGCTGCTCGCAGCCGAGTCCAAACGAGGCGCCCAACCCGAAGACGAGGCCGCCTCCCAGGAGAAAGCCGCCGAGACAATCGCCTCGGCCGATTCGCGGCCGAGGAAAAGGCCGCCTCCCACGGAAGGCTCGCCGCTGTCAGAACCGCAGTCGCGGGGTCGCGCGGGGCCTCCGTCGGAACCGCAGTTGCGGGAAGATGCGGGAGCACCGCGGAAGAAGCAGCGGACCAGGTCCCCTCCAGGGATAAACTACGTTGGGGAACGCCCCAAGTGGAACGAAGGATTCCTTCGTACAGCAGACGGCAATCGGGTTCCGTCCACCATCGCTTTGGTGTTCAACGTGGTGGCCATCACGAAGGTGGCAACAAAGGAAGATGTCTTCAGATGCATCTTGCACCAAACTGCGGCGGTCGTCTTCGTCGTATGGGACCCCGAGCTGTTCCGCACGGGGAACGTCGAAGGCGCTTGCAGCTACGACGTTCCCGTTGGACTCAGGACTGCCGTCGAAGACGCTGTCACTTTGAAAAACAACACCGCGGAGCCTTACTGGACGACGGTTGGCCTGTTCAGAGACACGGGCGTGGTGCTCGTGCGCCCGCACATCATCGCAGAGACCGCAGTTGCGGGTCGTGTTGTTGGGGCCACCCACGCCGTCACGATCCTGCGCTTTCGCCTGAAGGGCTCCGACATGAATCCTGCCGCGGTGATCCGTTTTGCCGTCGTGTCCAGACACGCAGTCACCGAACGTCTCCAACAGAAGATCACGCAATCAGAACAAACAGCGTGGCATCCAAGTTTCTTCAAGGACGCGGTTGCTTCCATCCATAAAA